AGGCTATGAGGGGGGCCAGCCCTCTTCTGGCTGTGCCGGGTGGAAAATTATAACAGAACCATGCCAAGATGTTCAAAAATGTTCATAAGTGACAAGCATGGTCAAATAATAATCAGGAATAAATCTCAGTTGGCTTTTCATAGCCGATCATTAAGAGTTGAAAACAGCAGGTCTGGGACAGGTAGGGGTTCCATAACCGCAGGCAGAACAGAAACAGACTCCATGAGGGTGGTATGAGGGCCCGACGTCCACAGGTGGGGGTTGTGCTTACAGCCCAACACCGTGCAGGACGTTTGGCATTTGCCAGAGAACACCACGATTGGCAAATTCGCCACTGGCGCCCTGTGCTCTTCACAGATGAAAGCAGGTTCACACTGAGGACATGTGACAGACGTGACAGAGTCTGGAGACGCCGTGGAGAACGTTCTGCTGCCTGCAACATCCTCCAGCATGACCGGTTTGGTGGTGGGTCAGTCATGGTGTGGGGTGGCATTTCTTTGGGGGGCCACACAGCCCTCCATGTGCTCGCCAGATGTAGCCTGACTGCCATTAGGTACCGAGATGACATCCTCAGACCCTTTGTGAGACCATATGCTGGTGCGGTTTGGCCCTGGGTTCCTCCTAATGCAAGACAATGCTAGACCTCATGTGGCTGGAGTGTGTCAGCAGTTCCTGCAAGAGGAAGGCATTGATGCTATGGACTGGCCCGCCCGTTCCCCAGACCTGAATCCAATTGAGCACATCTGGGACATCATGTCTCGCTCCATCCACCAACGCCACGTTGCACCACAGACTGTCCAGGAGTTGGGGGATGCTTTAGTCCAGGTCTGGGAGGAGATCCCTCAGGAGACCATCCGCCACCTCATCAGGAGCATGCCCAGGCGTTGTAGGGAGGTCATACAGGCACGTGGAGGCCACACACACTACTGAGCCTCATTTTGACTTGTTTTAAGGACATTACATCAAAGTTGGATCAGCCTGTAGTGTGGTTTTCCACTTTAATTTTGAGGGTGACTCCAAATCCAGACCTCCATGGGTTGATACATTTGATTTCCATTGATAATTTTTGTGTGTGATTTTGTTGTCAGCACATTCAACTACGTAAAGAAAAAAGTATTTAATAAGATTATTTCATTCATTCAGATCTAGGATGTGTTGTTTAAGTGTTCCCTTTATTTTTTTGAGCAGTGTATATATATATATGCACCTTTTTTCATCTTTTTAATTTTCTTTGATTTCATGGTGGCGAGTATTCATTAAGGGAGGAAAAACAAGGCATCTATTTCTTAAAATATCTGCAAAATATTTGGAAAATGTGTCAACTGCAACATGTTTCAGTATGGAGTAATGGATTTGAGGTTTATGACGACATGTTCCCGAGAAGGAAGGGGCTTTCCAAATGCCACCAAATTCCCTATATAGTGCAATGGACCCTGGTCAAAAGTAGTTCACCATATACAGTGGCTTGCGAAAGTATTCACCCCCCTTGGCATTTTTTTTTTTGTCACGATCGTTGGAGGAAGTGGACCAATGCGCAGCGTGATGAGTGAACATACTTTTAATTAATTCACCACACGAAACAAAACAACAAAACGATACGTGAAGTCCTTAGTAACAGACACAACCCATACACGGAACAAGATCCCACAGCACACTGTGGAAAACAGGCTGCCTAAGTATGGTTCCCAATCAGAGACAACAAGCAACAGCTGATGCTCGTTGCCTCTGATTGAGAACCACCCCGGCCAACACAGAAACACATGAGCTAGATAATCAGCCTAGAACCCAAAACACATAGAAACAACACACCCTGGCTCAACATAACGGAGTCCCAGAGCCAGGGCGTGACAGTACCCCCCCCCCCCCCCCAAAGGCGCGGACTGCGCCCGCGCCAAACATAACCGAACAGGGGAGGGCCGGTGGGCATTCCTCCTCGGAGGCGGTTCCGTCTCCGGGCTTGACCACCACCCTCCGTAGCGCCCCTGGTCCGGTCTGGCCCCGCTGGCTGGAGCTGGACTGGATATCGGTGGAGCGGATTGCTTAGGCTCCGATGTGGAGCAGCTGACCGGAACCTGACCAGGCACCGGTGACCCAGGCACGGGCTGTGCCGGACTGACGGTCTGGCCTGTTCCTGCCTCTCGCACCACAGGCTTGGTGCGGGGAGCAGGAACGGGCCGGACCGGGCTGACGATGCACACCACAGGCTTGGTGCGGGGAGCATGGACGGGCCGAACCGGGCTGACGAAGCGCACTACAGGCTTGGTGCGGGGAGCAGGAAACAGGCCGGGCCGGGCTGGCGACGCGCACCATTGGCTTGGTGTGGGGAGCAGGAACAGGCCGGGCCGGGCTGGCGACGTGCACCATAGGCTTGGTGCGAGAGGCAGGTACAGACCGGGCTGGCGACGCGCATCACAGGCTTGGTGGGAGGGACAGGAACAGGCCGGACCGCACTGGGAACACACACCACTGGCCTTACCCGGGGATCAGGAACGGGCCAGACCGGATAGGCAACACACCTCAGTACCTCTCGCCGTGCCTCTACATTCTCCTTCCCTCTACTCGCCAATGGCTCCCGTGACACGGTGGCCTTCTCTCCTCGTCCACTAACTCGCCCCTTATCTTCCTCCAGCAGCCCCATCGTCCCCGGTGTGAGCCCCCCCTAATTTTTTTTGGGCTTTGTCTCTCCCCCGTGGATATGGCCTCCATGGCTCTCGCCAGACTCTCCTTCCTCTGCTCCCAAGTCCAACCTCTCTCCTCCTCACGCGGCTTGACCCAGTCGAGGTGGATATCCGCTAGAGTTACCTCTGCCGTTGGCTCCTGGACACGCTGTTTGACCCAGTCGAGGTGGATATCCGCTAGAGTTACCTCTGGCGTTGGCTCCTGGACACGCTGCTTGACCCAGTCGAGGTGGATATCCGCTAGAGTTACCTCTGGCATTGGCTCCTGGACACGCTGCTTGGTCCAGTTTTGGTGGGATCTTCTGTCACGATCGTCAAAAGGAAGTGGACCAATGCGCAGCGTGATGAGTGAACATACTTTTAATTGATTCACCACACGAAACAAAACAACAAAACGATACGTGAAGTCCTTAGTAACAGACACAACCCATACACGGAACAAGATCCCACAACACACTGTGGAAAACAGGCTGCCTAAGTATGGTTCCCAATCAGAGACAACAAGCAACAGCTGATACTCGTTGCCTCTGATTGTGAACCACCCCGGCCAACACAAAAACACATGAGCTAGATAATCAGCCTAGAACCCAAAACACATAGAAACAACACACCCTGGCTCAACATAACGGAGTCCGAGAGCAAGGGCGTGACATTTTTCCTATTTTGTTGCCTTACAACCTGGAATTAAAATGGATTTTTCGAGGGTTTGTATCATTTGATTTACACAACATGCCTAACACTTTGAAGATGCAAAATATTATTTATTGTGAAACAAACAAGAAATAAGACAAAAAAAACAGAAAACTTGAGCGTGCATTACTATTCACACCCCAAAGTCAATACTTTGTAGAGCCACCTTTTGCAGCAATTACAGCTGCAAGTCTCTTGGGGTATGTCTCTAAAAGCTTGGCACATCTAGTCACTGGGACTTTTGCCCATTCTTCAAGGCAAAACTGCTCCAGCTCCTTCAAGTTGGATGGGTTCCGCTGGAGTACAGCAATCTTTAAGTAATACCACAGATTCTCAATTGGATTGAGGTCTGGGCATTGACTAAGCCATTCCAAGACATTTAAATGTTTCCCCTTAAACCACTCAAGTGTTGCTTTAGCAGCATGCTTAGTGTCATTATCCTGCTGGAAGGTGAACCTCCGTCCCAGTCTCACATCTCTGGAAGACTGAAACAGGTTTCCCTCAATAATTTCCTTGTATTTTAGCGCCATCCATCATTCCTTCAATTCTGACCAGTTTCCCAGTTCCTGCTGATGAAAAACATCCCCACAGCATGATGCTGTTACCACCATGCTTCACTGTGGGGATGGTGTTCTCGGGGTGATGAGAGGTGTTGGGTTTATATTCCCCTCATTATACTCCTCTATATTCCCCTGATGATACTCCTTTATATTCCCCTGATGATACTCGTCTATATTCCCCTGATGATACTACTCTACATTCCCCTGAAGATGCTCCTCTACATTCCCCTGATGATACTCTTCTACATTCCCCTGATGATGCTCCTCTACATTCCCCTGATGATACTCTTCTACATTCCCCTGTTGATACTCCTCTACATTCCCCTGATGATACTCCTCTACATTCCCCTGATGATACCCCTCTACAACATTCCCCCTATGATATACCCCTCTACATTCCCCTTTTGCATGCCTCCCGCTACATTCCCGCAGTTGAAGCTCCTCTACATTCCCCTGTTGATGCTCCTCTACATTCCCCTGTTGATACTCCTCTACATTCCCCTGTTGATGACTCCTCTACATTCCCCTGTTGATACTCCTCTACATTCCCCTGTTGATACTCCTCTACATTCCCCTGATGATAGCTCCTCTACATTCCCCTGATGATGCTCCTCTACATTCCCCTGATGATACTCCTCTACATTCCCCTGTTGATGCTCCTCTACATTCCCCTGTTGATACTCCTCTACATTCCCCTGAAGATACTCCCTCCACATTCCCCTGAAGATACCCCTCTACTTCCCCTGTTGATACTCCCCATTCCCCCTTGTTGATAACTCATCTAAATTCCCCCTGTTTGATACTCCCTACCATGCCCCTTTTGAACCCCCCCTGTTTGATAAACTCCTCTACATTGCCCCTGGATTGGATACTCCTCTACATTCCCCTGTTGATACTCCTCTACATTCCCCTGTGATCTCCCCACATTCCCTGTTGAACTCCTCTACATTCCCCCGTTGATATCCTCTACATTCCCCTGTTTTACCCCTACTTCCCCGTTGAGCCCCCTACTTCCCCTGATGATATCCCCCCAAAATTCCCTGTTGGGTACTCCTCTACTTCCCCCGTTGATACTCCCTACATTCCCCCTGGTTCTTTTTCCCCCTACATTCCCCCCTTTTTTGGGTCCCCACTTCCCCCGTGAACTCTTTTAATTCCCCCCGTTGAACTCCCTCTACTTCCCCTTTGATACTCCTCACATTCCCCTGTTATCTCCCCTACATTCCCCTTTGTACTCGTCTAAATTCCCCCCGATGATACCTTCATTCCCCTGTTGATACTTCTACATTCCCCCCTTTTTATACTTCTCCCCATTCCCCCGTTTTTGCTCCTCTACATTCCCCTGTTTTACTCCCTAAAATTCCCCCGTTGATTTCCCCTACTTCCCCGTTGATACTCCTCTACATTCCCCTGTTGATACTCCTCTACATTCCCCTGTTGACCTCCTCTACATGCCCCATGTTGATACTCCCTCTACATTCACCCTGATGATACTACTCCTCTTACATTCCCACATGTTGATAACTCCATCACATTCCCCTGATGATGCTCCTCTACATTCCCCTGTTGATGCTCCTCTACATTCCCCTGTTGATACTCCTCTACATTCCCCTGTTGATACTCCTCTACATTCCCCTGATGATACTCCTCTACAATTCCCCCTTATGTAATGCTCATATTGTGTCATCTCAGTCTGCGTCCGAAATGGCCCTATTAGCCCTGGTCAAAAGTAGTGCACTATATATTTGTACATTTTACATTTTAGTCATTTAGTAGACGCTCTTATCCAGAGCGACTTACAGTTAGTTAGCGCATACATTTTCATACTGGGATTAGGGATTAGGATGCCATTTCAGACGCAGACAGTGTCTTTTCCTGGTGGCAATTCCTATTCAAGGTCAAGTCCCACTTGATATTTCAATAGCGAGCTATTAAAACCATGAAATACAATTCTCAGTCTTTGTGGGACAACGGAACAGCTTGAGGTGTACAGCATCTGAATCATAGGCGCCTGCTGCATTATGATCTGGATCTATAGGCTACTGTCGTCCGGTGCTTTTGCGATCCATTAAATGTAGAAAACCTTATGCATCTTAAGACTTACCGTGCATTTGGTCGTACATTATAGTGAGATAGGGTTTAATGTTCAATCCAAGGGATTTCCAAGGGAATGCTACTATAGCATGGGGGGGAAATAATGCTTGTTGCCTCCAGACATTCGACCATATATTTGGTCATACATTATGTTAATCCAAGACATGTCAAGGGATAATTGAGGCTTTTGCTATGAGGCGTTAAAGAAATTGTCAAAAAAAGTGCATGTTGGCTCCATATAGCAGATTATCCTGAACGTAAACAGTTGGTTTTACTCCTCTAGTCATAACACAGTGTGAGATTCCTCAGTAATTGTGGCTTTGCCAGTGGTATCGTCCCAAATGGCACCCTATTCCCTATATAGTGCACTACTTTTGACCAGAGCTCTTTAGGTCCATATAGGGGATAGGTTGCCATTTGGGATGGAACATTTTTACATTTAGATTTTACATTTTAGTCATTTAGCAGACGCTCTTATCCAGAGCGACTTACAGTTAGTGAGTGCATACATTATTTTTAAATTTTTATATTTTTTTAAATTTTTTCATACACGCCCCCCGTGGGTATCTGATACTATTTCTGATTGTCTTAACTCACCATCACTGTGGAGCTTATCAAAAAAATAAAAAATAAAATTGCATCAAAAAGCAAGTAAACAAAGTCTGTTTTTACATCCATTGGGAATTACAATAGTTCCTCAACGTAGCCTATTGTAAAAATCTTTCCAGCTCTCTCCCTTTCGATAACCACTCAGGATGAAATGGGGAAAAATGTCTGCTTTGATCCGGTGGAAACGTCATAAAAAATGCCTACCTGATTAACTTCTTATCCCTTGCTAATCCTACAGCTGTGTCCGTCTGTCCGGAGATCACTGGCAAAGGAAACTCCCTTACAAAAAAAAAGATAGAAGTTTTGAAACTGCAGTAAAAGTGCAGTAACTGCAGTCAACTGTGGTATTTTGGACACAGTAATTGCAGAATAACTGCAGTTATACTGAACTCTGACTGCAGTCTTTTTTCGTAAGGGCTCTGAGGTTCCCAGAATATTCTAGCACAAGCTTCAGGCTGGACCCAAGTTAATAGTTAATACAATGCTTCAAGTTCCTTGCAGACAGGCCATGCGTAGCCAATGTGATTTATAGGATATATATTTTTTCATAGGATATTTTCTACCTGCGGGCTGCAATGTTTTTTTTTTTTTTTGGCTTTATGTAGGCTATTGTTACATATTGGCAATTGCAATAGAAGATACTTTTAGATTTGTATCATTTTCATTTAGATAGATTTTTTGATTAACCACATGACATTGATTTTGAGATATGAGGACTTTATTATAAATTAAATAAAACTGTTCCATGAAAGTGTGTATATGAAAATCATAACTGGCACGCAGATCAGTAGAAAAGGTACGGTAACTAGGCAGCAGCGGGCAGTGGGAGGAGGAGGGTCCGGTAGGGAACTGTTTTTTTACTCTGGTTAGCCTACATTGGTCTCTGGCTCCCTCTTTAGTTATTTGTGTGTCTTCATTTTTAATCGCAGTGCTTAAAGCATCAGGCAAAGTAGCCTACATGTAGTTGATTTTATTCAAACATACGATGTGTCTATATATGGAAAAATACATGTTTAAAAATGTTGACCAATCAATTGGTCGAAAGAACAGACGACTCTTGGTCGACCAATATTTTTTTTGTCGGGGACAGCCCTGAACGAAATTTAGCTAGCTAGCTCTCTCTCTCTCTCTCTCTCTCTCTCTCTCTCTCTCTCTCTCCTCTCTCTCTCTCTCTCTCTCCACACACACTCCTCCTCTCTTCTCTTTCTCTCTCTCTCTCTCTCTCTCTCGCTTGTTTCTCCTTCATTTATGTATTTGTTGAAAGCTGTTCAACTATTGTCTTTCTCTCTCTTTGAGTCAACTACTCACCAAATGTTATGCACTGCAGTGCTAGCTAGCTGTAGCTTATGCTTTCAGTAGTAGATTCATTCTCTGATCATTTGATTGGGTGGACAACATGTCAGTTCATGCTGCAAGAGCTCTGATAGGTTGAAGGATGTCCTCCAGAAGTTGTCATGGAACAACTGGAAGGGGGTGAGAACCATGAGCTTCCTAGGTTTTGTATTGAAGTCAATGTACCAAGAGGAGGACGGACACTAGCTGTCCTCCGGCTACACCATGATGCTTCCATACAGAGTGCTGTTGAGGCTACTGTAGACCTTCATTGCAAAACAACGTGTTTTAATCAATTATTTGGTGACATGAATATATTTTTATCTAAAAATGATAACTTTTTTAATGTTTCACTGTTTACATTTTTTTTCTGAAATTCACTGAGGAGGATTTTTTTTGAAATTCACTCCCCTTCCTCCTCTGAGAAGCCTCCATTGACATACACTGTAGGTGTCTCCACCAGATATTCTAGCCTATTGTCTTCTTATCATATAAAACAGGTATAGAACTTCCTTCCTGTGGTTGTGGACTGCTCACCGCTGCCTTTACGTGACGACCGGAGGTAAAATATTTATAGTGCCAGCCGTCTAAAATTAGCTTTCTCCTTCATTCATTACTTTCACATTTCTCCTGTAGATAAAAAAAATATATATCCTTAAAATAGATCCTCATCGGTCCAGAAGTAAATGATGGTGATGTCACTGTGGAGAAGATGGATGATTCTATACTTCCATACTGCTACAACAGTGAGGATGTCATGTTGTAATAAAGAAAGTCCATTTTTATTTCAAAAATATTATAGAACATGTTAGATGGAGATTAGAATATAAGGTTATATAATTCTATGTATATTACAGGTGATGAGGGACCTGTGTGTGTACTGTACTGTGTCATTTTAATCTGTCAGACTGTGTCAGTCTACTTTGAAGAAGACTCTCGAAACCCAGATGCCCTTGAATCAGGAAACTCTGAGTTCTCTCCTCTAGCTGCTGCATCAGCCCCAGGCCATCCCTCGGAATCACTCCCCTCAGAACGAGAGAGAGAGAGAGAGAGGAGAACCCGAGAGAGAAAGAAGAGACGAGAGCGGAGAGAGAGAGGAGAGAGAGACGAGAGAGAGAGATGAGAGAGAGAGAGAGTAGAGGGGTAGAGAGCAGAGATGAGAGAGACGAGAGAGAGAGATGAGAGAAGAGAGAGAGAGGGGAGAGAGAGAGAGAGAGAGAGAGAGAGAGAGAGAGAGAGAGAAGAGAGAGAGATGGAGAGAGAGAGAAGGAGAGGGAGAGATGAGAGAGAGAGAGAGAAGAGAGAGAGATAGAGAAGAGAGGAGAAGAGAGAGATAGTTGTTGTGGGACACAAGTTTGAATCCCCGGGTCAGACGTACAGGGATGGGCTCCATTACAATTTCAAAGTCATTATCATGAATGAAGTTGTCCAAAGGGAGGTGAGCCGAAGACTTCTACTTCACAGCTATAGACGCTTCATCAACTCCTGGGCTGGGAAGACAGGATGGGAATTCCCTTGTTTACTGAAAAGAGAGAGGATAGGTTTGATTGAGGAGAGTGGTGGGAGAAAGAGAGAGGGAGAGGAGAGGAGAGGAGAGGAGAGGAGAGGAGAGGAGAGGAGAGGAGAGGAGAGGAGAGGAGAGGAGAGGAGAGGAGAGGAGAGGAGAGGAGAGGAGAGGAGAGGAGAGGAGAGGAGAGGTATTACTCCATCCATCATCTCATCCACTAGGTCAGAGACA